CATCAATTGATTGGTCGAATGCTTATCATGCTCTGTCTATCTCCAAACCTTATAGAAAATATCTCCGATTTGTCTGGAAGGGGACATTGTATCAGTACTGTTGTTTGCCTAATGGCTATGCACCAGCTCCTCGTATATTCACAAAACTGACAAATGTATTTTTCTCTCAACTAAGAAAGATGGGCCATTTGAATACAAACTTTATAGATGACAGTCTGTTAATTGGGGATGACATTGAAGATTGTAGAAACAATATCAGAGATACTGTACTGTTTTCATTAAAAGCTGGTTTTGTGGTTCATCCAGAAAAATCCATTTTAGATCCTGTACAGGAGATCACTTATTTAGGTTTCATTCTGAATTCTTCCAGTATGACTATTCGTTTAACTGAAGAAAGAGCTCATAAGCTAAAAGAAGCTTGTCTAGACATTTTGTCATCAAAATTTATAACATTAAGACTGTTTGCTTGTGTAATTGGCCAAATGGTTGCTTCTCTTCCCGGAGTTCAGTACGGCGAAATATATTATAGACGTTGTGATATATTAAAAAGCTCTTTACTAAGTAAATTCAATGGTGAATTTGATCATAACATTTATTTAAATTCTGAATGTATATCTGATATACAATGGTGGGTTAACAATATTTTAACAGTAAATAAATCTTTGTTAGTTGAGAACCCAACTTATATTTTAAAATCTGATGCTTCATTGAAAGGTAGGGAGGAGTTGACCCAAATGGCAATGTAACAGGTGGAAACTGGTTACCTGATGAAACTTTGAATCACATAAATTATTTAGAGTTAATGGCAGCAAAATATGTATTATTTTCTTTTTGTAAAGCAATGAAAGATGTATGCATTTTAATCATGATTGATAACACTACTGCTGTATCATATATAGACTCCTAAGGTGGCAAAAAACCAAGTTTAAATAATGTGACAAGAGATATTTTACTTTTTTGTATAGAAAGAAATATATGTTTAAAATCTAGTCATATTGCTGGTTATAAAATATAGAAGCAGACGAACAAAGTAGACTCTTGCATGAAAACACAGAGTGGGAGTTAAATCAAGATAGTTTTGATAGATTAAAAAATATTTTTGGGGTTTGCCAACTGTGGACTTATTTGCATCTAGAGTAAATGCAAAAATTGATTTTTATTATGCATATAAACCAGATCCGTATGCGTCTGGAATTAATGCTTTTTCCTTTCTATGGAATGCGTTTCCTCCATTTTGTTTGATAGGTAGTGTGCTTTCAAAAATTGAAAG